ATATATATATATATATATATATGTGTGTGTGTGTGTATATATCTATATATAAAGATATAAATTTACGGGACAACAACTACAAATAATTGGAACTTATAATTATGTCTTCATTCAATATATAAATAAGAAGAAGATCCCGGCTCCAAAAGTGTATTATCACGCTCTGAAATAAGGGTTAGTGACGTGGAGGCTCGTTTAAAAGTTAAACATGATTAGAAAAGTAATTAAACGTTTAGAAACATAATAATCAAAATCAAAAGTAAACTATTAAAGAAATTTCTAAACAAGCCTCACCTTTTGCTGAAATTAAATTACAAGAAAGTGGTAGGGACTTTCACACTTTCTAATAAAAGAGGTTTTAAACTAAGCCTCTGGCATCGTTCAAGGCTTCACCCACAAGATATACAATATTGTACATACATGACCATGTAAATAACATTTATAGACATCAACCACAGTTTAAGAACTTAAAGTTTAGAGTTTCAGAATTTACAATCCTTACATTTGTACACAAGGATGAAAAAGTGCAATGTCTTCACTTGATCTGACGGTAGCGACTAACTCAGCTACTCAGCGCTGCTCCTAATGACGCCTAGGAGGCCCAATAGGATGTATTTTGAAATAAACTTTATAAACAAGTAAATAAATGAATGAGTAAGTAAATAAAGATATTCGGTTCCAACACAACAGCTGAAACCTAACATCCTTTTTCTGAAAGGAAATATAACTTTAAAATTCCGTATTACAGGCATCGGCAAGTAATTTATACTATGATAAATTACTTACACAACCACAACCACAAGCCTTATCACCACCATAGTGGCCCGGTCCGGGTTTCGGTTTCTGCCCCCAAGGATATGATCTCCATATCCTATCTAGGCCATCAACGGGCTTACCAGTTCGCAAGATATCTTATCTTAAGAAATCATTCATTAAATTTCTGAAATAATTCATTATAATTCCAATAGCTAAAATCAAGCTATTGTGTATCAATCATGTCATTTCATTAAAACATTTGCAAGGCTGAACCTCTTTAAAATAGGTTATCAAAGAAATGGACAAGAAATCCTACCTCTTAAGCACCAAACTTGTGGCTAGCGTTGCGCTATCCTAGCCTCCGCTTCCTCAAAGCCCTTCAATTTGATTCTTCAACCATCATTTATACAAAACAACGCTTTAGGATTCAATACTCATTTCTAAAGCAAATCAACCTCAATTATACACTTTGATTTCCTATTGGTGTGCCTTAATCCAATTACAAGTTTTATAAATCATGTTATGTTTCAAATCATCATTCCAAGGAATTTGATCTCAAAACATGGATTAAGGATGTTAATCCATCTACTTTAGGTTCCCAAATAAAACTAATTTGGGTTGGGTTATCTTTAAAAATCAGGGTCAAAACAAGGTTTTTTAGCAAAACAGGTTCAAATCACGTGTACACCGGTCGACCGATGACAGAAAAGTTGTTCTTCACCGGTCAGCCGGTGAAAAGGGCACCGGTCGACCGGACCGGTCGGCCTATGGGAGCTGGACAGCTCGACCGACATGGCCGATCCGAAGAAAATCCGGCCAAAACCTATAAATCTGAGTTCCAATCTGAAATATTTTTAAAGAAATTCAACAAATCCAGGTTCCAAACAACAAATCAAGCCCACGGAACCAAAAACCCCTAATTTCCATCAGGATTTAACTAAAATCCATCAAAATCCACTTTAATCTAAAAATAGGTTTTTCTAACTAAAAATTTCAAGTTTTAAGAGAAGTTTTTTAGAAATCTTACCCCAAATCCTTCTCTTGACGTTGAAAACTCCTTGAAATTCTTATTTGGTTCAAGATTCGGAAGAAATGGTGACAAATTGAACAAGAGAGAGAGAGAGAGTGAGAGGAACAAGAGAAAGAGGGAGAGTGAGAGGGAACGACAGAGAGAGATAGAGGGTATCACGGAAAGAAAAGAAAAAGAAGAAAAAGAAAGGAAAAGAAAAAGGAAATAGGAAAAAGGTAAATATCAAAGATATTTAGGAAAACTGACCAGAAAATGTGTCTACACAAACTTTTGGAGTAAAAATATAAATACTGAAAATATTTAAATCCCTTAAAATTATTTAAATTTACATAACATAAATATTTAATGAACACAATTATTTAATTAAACCATATTAGACACACTAATAAATCTTAATTATCTTAATTGATCATGTTTAATTTCTCGAAGTGTTATATGTATAGTGGTGACCAAACATCTCTACTAGAGTTCAAAAACAAAACATACAGTTCAAAAGCCACATAGAAATCCTCACCATAGAATATTATTTCTTGAAAATGCTGAAATTTCCACAAATGAGATTTCAATTTCCCCTGTGAACCATTCTATAATATCAAATGCAGAGATAACACTAATTAGGATAAAGTTTATATAAAATGAAAACTATATTATAGAGGGCACAGAAAACATCAAAAGCAGGACACAATTTTCTTGTGTATTTTGGCCATCCACATATAGAACTATAATCCTGAGGGAAGGAAACTTTCCCAATATCTTTTAACTAATCAACAAATTAAGAAGGCAATTAATCTTCATTGCACAAAGACTTTTTCATATAATTAGACTCTTCTTCATTGTTCCTTCTTGTTGACTCTTCTTTGAGTATTTTAATTTTGTAACCAGAATGAAGAAAGTGTGATGCATAGAAAAGAGCAAGTTGTACACGTGAAAATTTAATTCCTTATCCTTCACTTTTGTGTACTTTGGAAACATGATTATTTAGTTTTTGTTGTTTAGATGAGGTACTCAAGCAAGGAAAAGTACTGTAATAGTTCATCAAGAAATGGGAAACTATATATGTACAATAGTGCAATAAAATTGGAAAAGTTTAGAATTGTAAATTTACCTATAATCTTGGAGAGAAAGTTTGAGCAGCGGCAAAAATCAAAACAATTAATCCTCTCATAACATGAATCTTCTTGTGCATCTACATCAAAGTTGATGGTTTTAGGCTCAGCTTGGGATTGTGTGCTTTTGGAAAAAGTTCTACTTTTACTTTTAGGAAAAAAGAGGTGTAGAACTAGAAATCGAAAGATAAAAATATCAAACTAATTGCAAAATATACTTACTGCAAAGGATTTTTGTGGTCTCTAAAAACAATACCAGCTTCGTGGACATGATTCCGTATAAGGCGACAAAGGTAATACAATATTGGTGTCTTGGGATGGGCTTTCAATTGTGTCGTCTGACATCAACGGTGCAGATGCGGGTGATCCAATATCATATAAGGATGCTTCCATGCTGAAGACATTATACAGAGTTAGTAGATCTTCCGAGAGAGCTTCCATGGCCTTCACATTAAAACCCTGTTCCACTGCCTCAATCACTACAACAAATATCATTATCAATAGCTGACTAAAAACGCTATTAAGCACTACCTATAGCGTTTTGTAGAGCGCTAGAACATCGAGCGCTATTAAAAGTCCTACGAAAACATAATGTTCTGAGAGCGATATGAGAAACGCTATAGAATTAACATCTTACAGCATTTTATACTTGTCATTTTCAACTTCCTATAACTATTTGACCTTGTTATGGTCAGATCAATAGCTTTTCTCCGTTGTTATATCCATGCTCCTATAGTTTTTTAAAATTATTATTGATTATTTTACCAAATTTAAAACTAGTACAAACTAACGTTTTATCTACTTTCATTATATTAATATCCTTTTGAATTCATTCAAATAGATGGTGATTCCAAGCAGCATCTTAGTTTTACATTCAAATTAAAACATAAAACATTCAATATAATAATTTTGATCAATATCAACAAAGTTGGCAATTAGATGTCAACAACATAAGTCACACCATTTGTCCACAACTTTAACATTCAAAACAAGTAAAGAAAACAGAGGAATAGCTAGAGATATCAAAGTATCCAAAACGTCTAGCTAAATGAAATGGTAAGTAAATAATCCATCTTCACAAAATACTCCAACAAAAAAGTCATCTCCACCGGCAAGCATGAGTCTTGATTGCCTACATTTAAACCCAAAAAAAGAATTATCACAATCATACAAAAATTATCCAAAAAAGTTAGATTTCACTCTTAAATACTTTTAAGTATATGAGCAAGTAGTCTACATATAATGGTATGCTTAAAACAAATTGGTACTAAGTAGAGAGTTTTCATACCCCTTAAAAATTTTGCATAGCATCTAGTATTCCGTGCTGGTAAGTCAAGAACTAATTGCTGGTCTTTATCTTCAATTGCAAATCCCTTTTTGCATAACTTCCATTTCCCAGTAGTAGACATTCTTAGCACTTCTTGCATTAAAACAAAGAAGCATAAGCAGAGTACTACATAAAGGACTTGTATTACAACTAAAAAAACAATGGTCATTGAAGGAAGAAATGTACCTTAACAGATTCTGGATTGTCAAAGGTCGACGCAATTCCACCCCCAGCTACTAAAGCCAGGCGCTCAATGCCATCAGAATCAGCATGTTGAATTGCAAGTATTCCAGCATCTGCAAAGAGCTCCTCCGGGAAATTGTAAATCAACTGTCAGTTAACAAAACAGTTTGTGTCATGACCTATTATCTTCTATACCTTTTCTATCATCTTTTCTTTGTCAGGCCCTTCAATTTCAACATCCTTGGACATTGAAACAACACGAACACAGGCCACATAGATCTTCACTTTGTTAGTGTCCATAGTAGTATTTGCCACAAAAATCTTTACATTTTCTATGCGTTTGGGCTGTCCAATACCTATCTTCTTGTCAAGAATGAATCTGACCATAGCAGAATCTAAGTATATTAGCAAGAATGGACCACCATCAATTAATATAGAACTCTAGTCCAATCAAGAAATTTAAAGATAGAGCACTTTCTACCAAATGTCGCCTAGCTTCCAAACTACTTAAAGCTATCTACATATACATACGTACATATATATATATATATATATATGTAAAGCCTATTTTACCAAAATAAAGGAATTAAATTATCAATCTAGAAAAGGTATATGCGTCTTGTAATAAACATGAGACTAACTGCAAGTTCAATTGCAACATGAAAATAAAACATAAGAAATAAATTCAACATAACCCACCCTTCATCTAAAAAGGAATCTTCTAGGGATCCCCCAGGCTTCTTTATGATCAGAATAGCCTCTAAATTAGTGCTTCCCTGTCATTGTCAAGATTTTTGTCAAACAATATGAGCAGAAAATTGGAGCTCAAGTAGTTTTACAACAAAGTAAATCTGTTAGTGCATTTTTTGTGTTGGCTTATTTTTGGCAAATTGGTTGTAAGATTGGTTAGCATTGTAAATTGGTAGTCCTCTTAAAGAAAGTTTGGTTGACTTGTGTATTGGCTGCAAATAAAAGATCTTGATTGCTGAAAATTAAGAGTGGACTTTCTGGAGCATTATGGCTGGCTCTTCTAAGGAAAAAATTGTGGGAAATCTTGGAAATGATTGTCTTCTTACTGTCATTGGGGCTGGTGACCTAATTTGTGGTGTTAATGGATGAGATATTACCATGATTGGATGTTCTTATCATGGATGATTGAGGGGGGTGATTCTGTGATGGTATATACAGTGGCATGAGGGTTTTGATGTGGTGAAGAATGTGAGGTGAAGAATATGTGTTGAATACAGAAAAAGTTGTGTGTGTTCATGTGAGTATGAGATTGTAATGTTAAGAGTCGCTTGATGTGTTGCGACGGATTGTGAGAACACTTTTGAATTGGTTCTTCGGGAGAAGATTTCTTTGGTTTCGGGAGGAAACCGTCAAGTCGAGTGGTGCTCGCTGAACAAGGCCATTAAGGAGATTCGACACGGCGGCAAAAACGTCAAGGAGGGAGTCTTTGGGTGTATAAGTCCGATTGGTGTTTGTAATCCTTTGAACTTAGTGGATTGATCATTGTCTGGGCGTGGCCCCGTAGAGTAGGTGTGCGCATCGAACTGCGATATCATTTTTCTGGTGTTATTTACATTCCTACATTATTTTCCTGCATTTTGCCTTGCTGGTTTAATTTCAGATTCTCTGTCACAAAACAGTGTTACAGTAAAGTGTTACAACACCACTTGTGACACTAGGATAAAAACGGACCTAACAATTGGTATCAGAGTGGTTCACTAACCCTTTGTTTGGTGAGATTTTGGGAGTTGGTTTGTTATAGCAGGGATGGATTTTTAGAGAGAAGGTGGTTCAGTTTCACGTCCTCCTCTCCTCGATGGTTGCAATTACTCTTATTGAAAAGCTCGTATGAAGGCGTTCATCAAAGCACTTGATAAGAAAGCGTGGCGTGCTGTGTTGATTGGTTGGACGCACCCCGTTACCAAAAATGATGCTGAAGAAGAAGCTATGAAACCCGAAGAGAAATGGTCTACTGAAGAAGATCGATTGGTGAATAGCAATTCAAGAGCTCTTAATGCCATGAGTGGATGTCAATCAATTCAAGCTCATTTCTACATGTGAGACGGCTAAGGAGGCTTAGGAAATTCTACAAACGGCGCATGAGGGCACGGCAGCCGTGAGACTATCAAAGCTTCAAATTCTCACTACTACGTTTGAAAACTTACGCATGCTTGAAGATGAAACAATTTCTGATTTCAATTCAAAATTATGTGATAGTGCTAATGAGGCATTTGCCGTTGGAGAGAAAATATCAGAGGAGAAGCTTGTGAGGAAGGTCTTGAGGTCTCTTCCACGGAGGTTTGCTTACAAGGTGACAGCTATTGAGGAAGCCAAGGATATCTAAACAATGAAACTTGATGAGCTAATGGGTTCTTTGCGCACTTTTGAGATGAATTTGGATGAAACCAAGGAAGGAAAGAAGGAGAAAAGTATTGGCTTTCAAGCCGAAGTTGATTATGATGATGAAGAAAACTTAGCCCAGTCCATAACAAAGTTGTCGAAGAAATTCAACAAGGTGATGAAGAAGGTCAATAGGAAGAATGAGAATTCAAGAAATGGTAATTCCAGTAACTTTCAGAAGAATAAAGCTGCAGCAATTAACACAGAGATGAAGACAAAAAACATGGGTATTCAATGCCGGGAATGCGACGGTTATGGCCACATTCAATCCGAGTGTGCCAACACCCTCGAGAAGAAGAAGAAGTCATTTAATGCAACATGGAGTGATGAAGACTCTAAAGGCAGTCAGGAGGATGAAGACCATGTGAGTAACTATGTTGCTTTCAATGTTTATACTGATCAAAGTGTTTCTGCAGTGTTGCAACACTGTCTGTAACAGATTCTGTGAACAGTGAAAACGGAGGAGATTTTTCAGATCTGAAAGTAACAGTGATGGTGAGGAGTTGACTATTGATGCCATACAAGAATCCTATAAGACCATGTTCAGCAAATGGGTTAAAGTGTGTGAAATGAATAAGTCTCTACGGGAGCAAGTTGATGAGCTTGTTAAAGAGAAGGATGTGCTTAAGAAGGCTGCCATTAACTATGAATTTCAAGCTACTGAAAATGAGAAAAAGCTACAGGACACAAGGGCTGAACTGGAGAGCACTCAGAAAAATTTGAAGATGATGAATTCCGGCACTACCAAATTAGATCATATTCTCTCCATAGGAAAAGCAAGTTGTGATTGTCATGGACTTGGCTACACCGGTGAATGTTCAACGTCCAAGATAGTATTTGTGAAAGAGACACCCGACCCTGAATCTCGGACAACCCTCAGTAAAAAGGTTATTATTTCACCCCCTCGACGTAAGAGATTTGTTCCCATATGTCATTACTGCGGTTTAGCTGGCCATATAAGACCAAGATGCTATAAGTATTTGAATGCTTTGAAGAGAGGTATGCTCATGAATCCACCAAATTCCGCAAACTCAAGAAGGACACCTAAAGCAAGGATTAATGTGCAAAATAAATTTCCTAGACGTGTTTGGGTAAGGAAATCTGATATAAGGTGTCATAGGACTTATACTTCTTTAGAAGCATGTACTAATGGTTGTGTGTGTAGTAATGGTGGCTGGTCCAAGCATTTGACAGGTGATAATATCAAGTTTAAGAGAGTGTTACATTCAGGGGGAGTAAGACTCGTAGAGGACTCAGAGGGAGCAATAGCTTCTAAAAGGTTTTTCTATTAGTATTATTTTTTAACTTTGGCTGTCTTTTGTCAAAAAGGGGGAGAACTCTTAATTCAATTAACCCCCTTAGTTGGTTTTTTATCTTTTATCTTGTAATAGGTTCTTTTTGTTAGTAATGTTAGTTTTGCCAAAAATAGCCAAAGGGGGAGATTGTTAGTGCATTTTTTGTGTTGGCTTATTTTTGGCAAATTGGTTGTAAGATTGGTTGGCATTGTAAATTGGTAGTCCTCTTAAAGAAAGTTTGGTTGTCTTGTGTATTGGCTACAAATAAAAGATCTTGATTGCTGAAAATCAAGAGTGGACTTTCTGGAGCGTTATGGCTGGCTCTTCTAAGGAAAGAATTGTGGGAAATATTGGGAATGCTTGTCTTCTTACTGTCATTGGGGCTGGTGACCTAATTTGTGGTGTTAATGGATGAGATATTACCATGATTGGATGTTCTTATCATGGATGATTGAGGGGGGTGATTCTGTGATGGTATATACAGTGGCATGAAGGTTTTGATGTGGTGAAGAACGTGAGGTGAAGAATATGTGTTGAATACAGAAAAAGTTGTGTGTGTTCATGTGAGTATGAGATTGTAATGTTAAGAGTCGCTTGATGTGTTGCAACGGATTGTGAGAACACTTTTGAATTGGTTCTTCGGGAGAAGATTTCTTTGGTTTCGGGAGGAAACCGTCAAGTCGAGTGGTACTCGTTGAACAAGGCCATTAAGGAGATTCGACACAGCAGCGACAACGTCAAGGAGGGAGTCTTTGGGTGTATAAGTCTGATTGGTGTTTGTAATCCTTTGAACTTAGTGGATTGATCATTGTCTAGGCATGGCCCTGCAGAGTAGGTGTGCGCACCGAACTGCGATATCATTTTTCTGGTGTTATTTACATTCCTGCATTATTTTCCTGCATTTTGCCTTGCTAGTTTAATTTCAGATTCTCTATCACAAAACAGTGTTACAGTAAAATGTTGCAACACCACTTGTGACACCAAGATAAAAACGGACTTAACAAAAACAATTACATGCAACATTGTACCAACTGCACAGTAAGTCACAATTTTACAAACAAGGACCACCACTTAGCTTCATTTCGAAATAGATTTTGAAAGCCTTGCGAGATGTGAATTAATGAATTACCTTAAGTCGTAGTACGTCATCCACAGCAATTTTAGCATCCAGGATTGAACATGAATGATTCTCACAACCTTATACAAGTATAATGACAATAGCAGGAATTCCCAAAACCAGTTATAAGCACCATAATAATACCATGGTTGAAGAGGTACCAAACGGTGGAGTGCGCGGGACGTGAAATTTGAAGGAAAAAATTTTCAATACCCGCCCAGCGTAATTCTAATGTATATTTATAGGAATTGTATCTGGTTAGACACTTGAAAAGTGCCAGACCGAAACGGTAGTTATATAATTCTGTATAAATTATATATATTTATATGTAAATCGTGTATATTTATATAAAATCATGTATATTTAACATGAAATACAATAAATCAGCCAATATACATATTTTCATGCTATGTGTTCACTAATTGTTATAAAAAAATACATGTTTTGATGATTAATATACATTGTCGTTTCTTATAACTTAACATGTAAATGTACATGACTTTATATGTAAATATACATGATTTACATTTAAATATACATAATTTATGTAGAATTATACAATTGTC